TCCGGGGGACTGGACTTCCTCAGGGCCATGATCGCCGAGGGGCAAGCAATCACAGAGGTCTTCGCCATCAGGGCCACATCCAAACTCACGAACCCCAGTACAACAAGCCCCACGACATGATGGCGCCGATAGACATGAGCGTTGGCCACCACTACGAGAAAGGGGACGCGATGGTCCGCGCGCTGGGCCCCTCAGGAGCCATCAAAGCGCGCTTGTCCGCCCGCGACCACGACAAGGCGCACCAGAACTAGATACCTATGGGCTAGCGACCCATGCCCATCCTCGCCGCGAACCTTCTACGACGACAGGGGAAGGCGAGAGCGACGACGAGGACAACGACAGCGACGTGGAGCACGAGAAAAGTAGCGAGAAACACAACACCTACGTACCCAAACGAATACTGGTGGAACGCTGAGCACTACAATCTGGCGGACGACGACTCCAAGGAGTCATGGCGAGACCGGCCTGCCTGAAGCCGGGTAAGCTCACGCACAACTGCAACGCTACGGACAAGGTCAGACATGTACCTCTGACACACAGGTTGCTACGTCTACCCACTGAGCGCCGTAGAGGCATCACCACAGACGTCGTGTACACTACCGACAACGCACTCCGCGTACTACGCCACCGGCAAGGTGCCATGTCTACGGCTGACGGGCCCCGTCGCTCCACCCGCCTCCCCTCCTGCCCCCGAGGCCTCAGAGAGGGATGCGGGTGGCCCTCTTCTCCCCCTCCCCCCCTCCAGAAGGGGTCCGCCGCCGCGTAGCCGTCGCTCCAGGCGGCGCGCGGCGGGCGCGGGAGCTCTCTGGGTGATGCCCGATGGCGCTACGAGAGAGAGAGGAGGAGGAGGAGGAGGAGGAGGAGGAGGAGGAGGAGGAGGAGGAGAAGGAGGAGGAGGAGGAGGCGGAGGACGAGGAGGAGGAGGAGGAGGAGGAGGAGGAGGAGGGAGAGGAGAAGGAGGAGGAAAGGGAAAAGGAGGACCAGTGTAAACCCAAGACGCATCAACAATTGTACAGTAAACCCTCCCTCTATGTTTTCCTTCCCAGGCCCCTGCAAGGGTTCATTCTCATTTAGGGAAGTGCCCCCTTGGAACACAATCGTTTGAAAAGGTGGAACTGTGCCAGAACACAACTGTTGGGACTTCAACGCCGCGAATGACCGTTACTGTTGCGTTTTGAAGATCCTGAATCGTGCCAGAGCACCACTCCTGGAACTGCAGCACCACGAATCAACGCGACTGTTGCGCCCTGGCATTCCGACATCGTACCAAAACTTGAGATCTGGAACATTCACTATGAGACTCCTCGAAACTGATGCAACTCTTAAGACGAATGTGCGCGGCGCTAAAGTAAGAGCCACACTTTGAAAACGGACCGCCCTCCACCCGCGAAACCCCTGCCATTTGTTAAGACGAATGCGCACGGCACAAATGCCAGAGCCACATGTTCAAAGCGCCCCGCCCTCCATCCGTGAAACTGCTGTAATGTTTGAAAACCATGTGCGAAGAGCTAAGACGAGAGACGCACTTTGAAAACCACCCGCCCTCTATCCGTGAAACTGCTGCACATGGTAAGCAAGTAAGCGATAAGGAAGTAAATGATCAAAGCTTCAGGGTCGCAAATAGGGAGGAAGTCTCAGGCGAAACGCCCAGCCTACCTTTTGGCCGAGCCTCGAGATGCGACAGGGAGGAGTTCTTTCCCCAATCAGAGCTTGCCTCTGCAGGGGTCCTAGCGGATTCATATGGTTAGGTTGGGTTTGCCGCCGATTTTCGCCGCACGCCCGGGTGCCTGGGTGCCCGGGGGTGCCCAGGGGTGCCCGGGTGCCCGGGGGTGCCTGGAGGTGCCCGGGGGTGCCTGGGTGCTCGGGTGCCCGGGTGCCCTATCGCCCTCTAGCACAATAGCCTTGCCCTATAGCTATATAGCCCTATAGCCCAATAGTCCTGTAGCCCTACAGCCCTATAGCCCTATAGCCCTATAGCCCTATAGCCCTATAGCCCTGTAGCCCTATAGCTCTATAGCCCTGCCCACTAGCTCATATAGCCCTGTAGCCCTATATCCCCATAGCCCAATAGCCCTATAGCCCTACAGCCCTACAGCCCTAAAATGATGACGATTGGGGCTTTTCTCCGGTATCATTATAGGGAAGAAGGATGGAGAAGGCTGACCGCCTCACCGATCCTGGTCAGGCCCATCCTGGCCCCATGATCGGCGTCTACGACCTCCAGTCCTGGCCAGGCAGGCATACACCCGTGTACGAATCCTGGGCCCAGGGTGCGAAGGGGAACTTTTTCCTAGCGTGTGGCCACGGCGGCCCTGGCGACACGCCATGCCCTGCGAGCGGATAATGCGTCGCTCCGCTCCACGAGGCGGGAGGCGGCGAAAGTCTCGGGACGTGGACGCCTGGGGATGGGGACGTGGATCGCGTGTCGCGCCGCAGCGCGGTGGGCCAGAACCGGCGGCGTGACACGCTAAGCCGAAGTTCCCGACCGCAGGCCGGCCAGGATTGGCGCGGTGCATACAGCTGGCGCCGTCGGCCAGACAGCACGACGAGTGCGCAAGCACAGCGTCTGGCGTCCCGAGCCGGCGCTGGGCCCCAGCGGCCGGGCCGCTCTCACGGCGCGCCAGGGGGGTGCGGGAAGGGATCCTCGATCCTCGAACCTCGATCCTGGATCTTCGATCCTCGAGCCTCCATCCTCGAGCCTCCATCCTCGAGCCTCGATCCTCGAGCCTCGAGCCTCGAGCCACGAGCGTCAATCCTCGAAGCCCCCCCCGGTCACAGCCCTCCCGCTGATCCCGAGCGTGGGGCAAGCGACTCCTGAGCCGCCCTCCGCAGACAATCGACGGTTCCTCAGTGCCATCGCTTGCGCCTCAGCCCGACGAGGATGAGGGTCAACAATACGGCGAGGGTACTCGATGAGGAACCCTTGGAAAAGGAATACAGAGTCTGGAGGCCAGCGGAACTCCAATCGTGGTTTCGCCATGGCCGCCCACATCAGATAATGAATCCTCCAGGGTCTGAACCCTCCTGGGCACATTCCTAAACCAACACCGCCACCGAAAGGGAGGAAGAAGACTGGAAGAATTGGCCTGGAGTCGGCGATGCGTCGCCGGTAGATAGGCGACAGGGCTGGCGAAGCCACGCGTTCCTGGGCGGGTTGGGGGCCCAGGCCCCGATCGGCGATGAATGGGCGATTGAAGGTCGATGCTCCCCCTCCTGGGCCAGTCCCCCCCTAGTTGCCCCGAGAGGGGCGAGAGCGGGGGCATGGACAAAGCCCCGACCTCGGGAGCCAGGCGGTGTGGCCATGCCGCGCACCATTGTTGTCCAGAGCTGGGGGCGGAAGCGGCTGGTGCACGGACAAAGCGTGGAGCGCCGAGGAGGGAGGGGAGCGAGCGCCGTGAAGTCCACGCGGACAACCGAAAACCAACCCTCTCTGCCGACGTCGCAACTGCTGTTCGCGACACGAGCCCCCAGGGATCTCGACCCCTTCGCCAGGGCTGGCGTTTCACCCTGATCCGTGTCCTGACGGCCCTGGGACCAGGAAGCGGAGCGGCGTCCAGAGGCCGAAAGCGTTCAAAAACTAGCCGTCGCGATTATGTTGCGTCGCGATCTGAAGGGACTTCAGGCCATCACTCGGGCAACCGGCGGCCGTTCGGGGCGATCCAGGCACACCCGGAACGCTATCGGCGAGGCGCCGCTGCTGGAAAGCATCCCGAGGAGGAGGAGGAGGAGGAGGAGGAGGAGGAGGAGGAGGAGAATGAGGAGGAGGAGGAGGAGGAGGAGGAGGAGGAGGGAGGAGGAGGGGGAGGGGGAGGAGGAGGGAGGAGGAGGAGGAAGGAGGGAGGGGGAGGAGGAGGAGGAGGAGGAGGAGGAGGAGGAGGAGGAGAATGAGGAGGAGGAGGAGGAGGAGGACGATGACCAGAATGAGGCCAAAATGCGTCCACGATGCTGCAATGCACCATCCTGTCCCCGCCGGGGAACCCCTGGGGCAGACGGGAGCGTCCAGAAACCTCGAGCGTCGAAACTCGAGCGGGTCTCCTAGCACGAGCGAGCGGGCGAGCGACCGAACGAGCGAGCACCGCTGCGGATAAGCGCCCGGGCCTAGCTCAGGCTAGGTGGGTGAGGCCGTGGCCTCTGGATTCTAGCGTATCGGGGCACATGCAATGCGAGACAGATGGAAGTTGATGAGGGAGGGGAGGAAGAGGAGGTGGAGGAGGATGAAGAGGAGAAGGATGAGGAGGGCGAGGGCGAGGAGGAGGAAGAGGCGCCAGTGCCCTGAGGACGGTTCATCTCTGTGGACACTTGGCTCCCTGCGTGTGTGCGGTGCGCCTCGCACCGAAAGTGCTGTTTTGGACAAGCGGTAATACGAGCGCTGACTGGTGCGTCGCGGAGTGGAGAGGAAAAAAAGAAGAGGAGGAGGAGGAAATACCGTCAGGCCCCCGAATACGAAGATGAGGAGGAGGAGGAGGAGGAGGACGAGGAGGGGGAGGAGGAGGAGGAGGAGACAGAGGGGGGCCCCTTCGAACTTCGAACCACCGTCATGAAATTGTTACATCGTGAAAAACGATGTCCGGAACCATAGAGCCCATCTTCCTGCTGCCTGTGCAGGCTAAATCGATCTGCGATGGCCCAGCGGACCCGAAACAGGGCAAGATCTGCCCCCTGGAAGAAGACCCTCGCGTCGAGCGTCGATCCTCGAACCTCGAAGGGGCTCTCTGGTATCCGGGGCCGCCTCGCGGAGGAGGAGGAGGAGGAGGAGAAGGAGGAGGAGGAGGAGGAGGAGAAGAAATGAGAGAGGAGGAGGAGGGAAGGAGGAGGAGGAGGAGAATGAGGAGGAGGAGGAGGAAGAGGGCCAGGAGGAGGAGAAGGGGAGGAGGAGGAGGAGGAGGAGGAGGAGGAGGAGGAGACGGCGACGGGCCCCCCAGCACGACAAGGAGGAGGAGCGCACGTCACCAGAGGGGGGCGGGTCAGACTATTGGCAAGGATACGCCGCGGCGCGGGTCTCAGAGGAGAGCGTCGTCGACCTCGAGGGCGTAGGCGTCAAAGAAGTAGAAGAAGAAGAAGACGAAGAAGATGAAGAAGAGGAAGAAGGAGGAGAAGAATAAGAAGAAGAGGAAGAAGGAGAAGAAGAAGAAGAAGGCCGCTTCGAAGGAGAAGAAGAAGAAGAAGAAGAAGAAGAAGGCCGCATCCCCGAGGTCGGCGGTGAATCCGCCGATCCGGCATTTGAGTTTCAAAAAGTCGGAGCTTCAGTTCAGCTCCGTGGGGGGGGGAGGGGGGGGGCTGCGCAGGGAAAGGCGTGGAGGGGGGGGACCGCGCACTAAAGTCCCCCCGCCCCTGGGGAACCCATTTTGTTATGGCTTCACCCATCCCGAACATGCGGGGGAGGGCCCCAAAGACCCCCCAGATCTGGCCCAGACCGCCCCCGGGAACAACCCCCGAGACCCCCCTGGGAACCCCCCCCTGGACCCCCCCTGGACATCCCCTCAGGGGGCACGAGCGCCCCGGATCGGCGGCACTGGCCAGAGGCCAGAGTGGGCAACGCCGAAAACGCCGCAGGATACTAAAGTCGCCGCAGACGGCGAAAAGGTTCCCGTAGCACTTGACGTAGGAGAGGTGGAGATCAGCACCTGAATGGAAGTATCGACGTAGATGCCCAGGAGCTTCGCAAACGAGTCGAGGCAATACTCGGCGCGGATGCTCGCATTCAAGGTGTCGACATAGTCCGCGTTGGAGCCCATGCACGTGTCGTTCTCGAGCTTCTCCATCAACTTACTATGACAACTATTGGTATAAGTATTACTACGCTTCGTATTCTTATGATGATGATTGTGAATATGATTACTTATACGCTTGGTACTGTTATTGATAATGTTAGGCTTCTTCTTATCAGTAATACTATTCAGCTTCTTCATATCGACCACGCGCTTGACCAGGACGCTCGCGTCGGGGAAGCTCTCAGAGCAGACATTATCTATCAAGAAGTTGTCGTGCTCCATGCTGGAACCCACGTGAGCGTATTGCGCGTGTTTTTGTACCATGATCCTATTACTGTTCAACTTCTTTACATCATGCACGTTCTGTAGCGAGAGGCTCGCGTCGGCGTCGCTCTTGGAGCACGTGGTACCCGGCTCGAGTTCAGCCTTCCACCGTGACGTAACCTGACTCAGGGATCAGGTCGAGGCGCCGGCGGAGGTCCGCGATCTCGACCGCGAGCGCCTGCAGCGCCTCCTTGTTGTCCTTGTGTGCCTCACTCGGCGGATGGAGAGCGGCGTTGCACTTCTTCTGCTCGGTGGTCTTGATGCGCTGCGCCATCCCCGAGACCTTGTCGATGAGCTCGTCGTTCACGCGACTCTTCTTGTTCACTGGCTGGTCAGGCGTGCGCTCGCCCAGCACGACACGGCCAACAGCAGCATCAGGAGGCCGTTGCTGCACCGCGACATCCTGCTCATCCACTCGCCGGTAGAGTGCGGAGATGTATCTTATAGCACTCCTCGAACCGCCCAGCCAAGTCGCCGAGCAGCGGCTTGAGGAACGGCGACATCTGCTCCGTGATGCCTGGCATGATACGGTCCGTGAACTGTTGCAGGAGCTCGTGGTCAGCTCGGACTTCACCGGCGGTATGTGGTTCGCATCCGCGTCCAGGCCGCGGTCCGAGTTGAGTTTCGTCGGCTGCTCCGTGAGGGGCTTCAGCAGCAGGTCCCGCTGCCGCCGATCAGGTGGATATGGGAAGAAACCCATCTTGCAAACACGCTGCAATCGATGACGAGTCTTACTGGCAGAGCGGGCCCCGCGCTGACGAAGAGCAGCCGGCACTGGTGGGAAATGACGAAATCGAAGAGGAGGACGCCGCAACAGCTGCGCATGACGAAACGCCGACACCGGCCATCGTGAAGAGCACCACCGCGAACGCGATGACGGGAGCAGCAGCGCCAGCAGGCATCATTGCTCCATCGGGTTCCGCGCTCGTGGATATGACCGCCCCCCCACGACAAGGAGGAAAGCTCGCGGATGCGCGGATGCGCGGCGCGGTAGCGAGCTGCCAAGCTCAAGCGACTTAAGCCAAAATGGCAACGGAACGACGAGGAACAGGAGGCGAAGGAGGCGGAGGAAGGAGAGGAAGAGGAGGGTCCCCTCGCGGGTGTTCTCGGAGATGCCGTCGGGCCCGCCCAGCACGACGAGCAGCCGCTTGATGCGGCAGCCTTCAGCGCGCTCCGCGGCCTCGTCCACGGCGCGTACGACGCGCCCCATGTGCAGGACATCCTCCGGCGGCACTCGCGCGAGGGGGTTACGCGAGGGTCGTCGTCGTCTTCGTCGTCGTCGTCGTCGTCGTCGTCGTCGTCGGTCGTCCGTTGTCCGTCGTCCGTCGTCCGTCGTCAGTCGTCCGTCGTCCGTCGTCCGTCGTCGTCGTCGTCGTCGTCGTCGTCGTCGTCCGTCGTCGTCGTCGTCGTCGTCGTCGTTCGTCGTCCGTCGTCGTCGTCGTCGTCGTCGTTGTCGTCGTCCGTCGTCCGTCTTCCGTCGTCCGTCCTCCGTTGTCCGTTGTCCGTCGTCGTCGTCGTCGACGTCGTCGTCCGTCGTCCGTCGTCGTCGTCGTCGTCGTCGTCGTCGTCCTTCGTCGTCGTCGTCGTCGTCGTCCGTCGTCGTCGTCCGTCGTCCGTCGTCCGTCGTCCGTCGTCAGTCGTCCGTCGTCGTCGTCGTCGTCGTCATCCTTCGTCGTCGTCGTCGTCGTCCGTCGTCCATCGTCGTCGTCGTCGTCGTCGTCAGTCGTCCGTCGTCCGTCGTCCGTTGTCCGTTGTCCGTCGTCGTCGTCGTCGTCCATCGTCCGTCGTCGTCGTCGTCCGTTGTCGTCGTCGTCGTCGTCGTCATCCTTCGTCGTCGTCGTCGACGTCGTCGTCGTCCGTCGTCCGTTGTCCGTCGTCCGTCGTCCGTCGTCCGTCGTCCGTCGTCCGTCGTCGTCCGTCGTCCGTCGTCCGTCGTCCGTTGTCCGTTGTCCGTCGTCGTCGTCGTCGTCGTCGTCGTCGTCCGTCGTCCGTCGTCGTCGTCGTCGTCGTCCGTCGTCGTCGTCCTTCGTCGTCGTCGTCGTCGTCCCCCTTCAGGGTCGGCGGCACCAGCCATAGGACACTCGCAATGGAAGCAAACGTGGCTGGATTCACACAGGTGCGCGGGCACCGATCATCGACGCCAGCTCGGCCCGCAGGGGCGAATGCGGGGAGCACGGGGGGGCCTGCCGCGCTCCCGCGAAGCGCCGACCGTTGATATCAGTCGGCCGATATTTCGGCCAGCGCCCGCATGTGGAACATCTGGCCGCCAGCAGGCCCCGCCCCCCATCGAACAAAGCTGGCGTCGATGGTCTTTGCCAGGGCACGTGTGGATCCAGCCATGTGTGCACCCATTTGGATGCAACTCCTGGAATGTGAACCTCAGATTCGGCGCTGGTATGCGTTCCCCCAAAGGGCCGATCGTTGGTTCCAATCGGTTGATTTTTGGGCCAGCCCCCGCATAAGGAACATCTGGCAACCACCTGCTGGGCACTCTGGATGGGGCAAGGATCGCCCCCCTCCCCTTGGATCCGTGGGGGGGGGGCACGCGCTGGAGGAAGAAGCAGAAAAACGGGGAGACATGGGCAAGCTCCGTCTGAAGGTCAATCACCTCCTGGAGAGATGCCCCATCCAGAGTACACATGCGGAAACCTGGCCCACACGGCCACAGAAGGCACAACGCTGGAAAAACATCTGGCCACATGTGCATACAGCTCTCGCCCAGGCGGACCGCGTCACCTGTATCCGGCTCTGGTCAGAGGGCGCGGCGGGCTTTTAAGCAGGCAGGCGGCTTGTCAAGGATGGCATCCCGGTTTCCGAGATAGCCTTCTCGAGAGCCTCCAAAGCCCGCCTGAGACGCACCGAAGGCTTCTGAAAACCCAGACCCCCGACGTCGCATTGTCTTGCAACGCGGACCGCCCAAGGTCTCGACTCGGTCCCGCGGACCCGCTTTTTATCCCGAGCCGCTTTGACGGACCCAGAGCCCAGCGAGGGCCCCCAGAGTTCGGTCGGACCTGTCCCCCTATAGGCGGATTTTGGGCGAAAAATGAAAGAACAAAAAAAATCATACAACCCCCAAAAAAAGACCCCCGAAATCCCCCAAAACAATCACAAAATCGTCCCCAAACTAGTTTTTGACTACTTTCGAATATCCCCCCGAGGCCAAAAAACCGCAGAACGCCGACCGCCGTGGGATTTTCAAGACCCCAGGGTTTCTCAGAGGCCCCCCGCCGTCTCAGGAGCCCGCCCCCTCCAGCGCCCCATACCCTCGGGCGCGCCGCCGAGTCCTCGCCGCCCTCCAGCACCACGGCGGCGAAGTGGCCGCCCTCCTGCGGAGATCGGCAGGCCCTCCAGACCCCGGCGACGTGCAAAAGCTGCCCCCAGCGGCCAGCACTTCTGAACGCTCCCGGCGGAGACCCCGGCGAAGGACCCCACCATAAGCAGCTTCGAGCATCGCGGGCCATTTGAAACGGAAGACGGGGCCATCAAAACGACCGCGGCGTTGATCAGGAGATGGAAGGCGTTGGGTTCGTGGGGGGATGCACCGTTTGGCGCGAGCCCCGTTCGCCGCCACTTCGTGCCCACGTCCTTCCCAGGTCTTTCGCTCCCCTCCTTTCCCGCCCGCCTGGCAACCCGCGTTGGCCCGGGCCTTGGGCCCCGCCGTTTTGCGTCCATGTCCTTCTCTCATGTTTCTCCCCTCTTTGTCTTTGCTCCCCGGTGCCTGCGGCACTGGGCACCGCCCATTGCCGAGTCCCCGCGACGCGCGCCGGTCGCCCAGAAAGAGTCCCAGCGAAGCGCGTGGGTTGTCCGCGGTACGAACGCACGGGCGGCTGACAACAAAGCGCTGAGCAGAGCGCGCGGCAAGTGTTGTGCAGCTCCTGGAGGCAGAGCGCAATCGAGTCCGCGCGAGCCTATGAAGCCACGAAACTTGTGGAGGGTAAGCCTTCGGTGGAGCTCCCTATGGAGCCACGAAACGCGTGACGAACTGTGCCGATTTGGACATGCGTGGGGCGGGGAGCCGCATGCGAACCCTGCCACAGGGGACTTCGGTGGAGTTCCCCATGGGGCCACGAAACGTGTGAGTGGTGTGCCGCAATGGACATGCGGTGTGCGGGGAGCCGCATGCGAACCCTGCCACGCGGGACTTAGGTGGAGCTCCCCACGGGGCCACGAAACGGTCGAAGGGTGTGCCGCAATGGACATGCGGTGGGCGGGGAGCCGCATGCGAACCCTGCCACTGGGAATTTAAGCGGAGCTCCCTATGGAACCACGAAACGTGCGAAGGGTGTGCCGCCATGGATATGCGGTGGTCGGGGAGCCGCAAGTGGATCCTGCCACTTGGGCCTTAGGTGGAGCTTCCTATGGGGCCACGAAACGTGTGAGTGGTGTGCCGAAATTTGACTGGCGCGGAGGACAGAGGCAAGGATGGGAGGAAGCAGGAGGGGGAGGGGGAGGGGAGGAGGAGAGAACGCGGGGCGCTGTCTCTTCAAAACGAGGACCCAACAGATTAGGGTGGCTGGTGGAAAAATACAACAACAACAACAACAACAACAACAACAACAACAATCATTTTACCCGAACGCTCAGTGTTCTCACCAGTGCCAGGGTTTTCATACGACGCCCGCCAATACCCCCACTTCGTGGGGGGGCATTACAAGCTCTACCAAATATCCAAACGACTCTTCGCGACCACCCAAACCCAGCTTCCCGCCCTATGACGTTGGGACACTTCACTTCGTGGCGTGCGGACGACCGTGGCTACTACACTGGCGTGGGGTACACACCCACAGAACTTGGTCACTTTGGCGCAACCTATGGCGCAACCGCAAGGGATTATGGCCCCTGGCAGGCGCGCGAACCCCGTTGCAAGAGCGTGCGAAAGTAGCTCGCGCGAGCTCATGTAACATAAATGTTGGAAAACCATTGGTTGTTTTAGGATTCGGACAGCGCGCGCGGGTGGAAATTTTGAAAAGTCGTGCAGGTGTTTTTCGAGGACCTACGGTGCGATTCGTGTGATTTTATGATGCGCGGTGCTAAAATTCTTAAGAAGCCCAATGGTTTTTGGAGATTTCGGCGTGCGCGCGCGAAGAAAAAACGAATGTGTCCCGCATGGTATTATTTGACAGGGATGATGGCCCTGGCAGGTGCGCAACCGTTGTCGCAGAAGTTCGAAAAAGTTGCTCGCAAAAGCCCGTTTGACAGAAATGTTTAAAAAGTGTTGGGTTTCCTACGAATCCGCAAGAGCGCGCGGGATGAGATTTTGACATTTTTTTGTTGAAAAACCATTGGTTTTTTGATGTTTTTATGTTAAAATCGCTCCGAACACTAAGCTTTTGGAAGGATTTCGTCTTGCGCGCGCGAATGTCCACTTTACCTTATTTTTTGCAAGGGATTCTTGAAATTTGATTATATTAGAACAAGAAATGTCATTTTATAGTGTTTTTTGCAAGGGAAAGCGGATTACAACAAAACAACCGGATCTTGATCAACATCGAATTACCTGAGGCTTCCTCACGAAAATGATGAAAATGTAGCTGCGGCCTAGGCGCGGCGGGGGGGGCGCGCACCAGGGGGCCCAACAATAATTATTCTTTAGAATTAATAATGTTCAACAACAACAACAACAACAACAACAACAACAACAACAACAACAACAACAACAACAACAATTACTAGCACGTGGGGACACTCCGTTCTCACCAGTGCCAGGGTTTTCATAGGAGGCGGGCAATACCCCCACTTTGTGGGGGGGCCGGTTCAAGCTCTACCAAATTTCCAAACGACTCTTCGCCACCACCCACACCCAGCTTCCCGCCCTATGACGTTCGGACACTTCACTTCGTGGCCTGCGGACGACCGTGGCTACTACACTGGCGCGTGGCTACTACACTGGCGGATTGTGGCCCCTGGCAGGCGCGCGAACGCCGTTGAAAGAGCTTGCGAAAGTAGCTCGCGCGAGCTCATGTAACATAAATGTTGAAAAACCATTGGTTTTTAAGGATTCGGACAGCGCGCGCGGGTAGAAATTTTGAAAATCCGTGCACGTGTTTTTCGAGGACCTACGGTGCGATTCGTGCGATTTTATGATACGCGGTGCTGAAATTCTTAAGAAACCCAATGGTGTTTGAAGATTTCGGCGTGCACGCGCGAAGAAAAAACGAATGTGTCCCATATGGTATTATTTGACAGGGATGATGGCCCTGGCAGGCGCGCAACCGTTGTTGCAGAAGTTCGAAGCACGTGAAAAAGTTGCTCGCAAGAGCCCGTTTGACAGAAATGTTGAAAAAGTATTGGGTTTCCTAAGAAATCCGCAAGAGCGCGCGGGATGAATGTTTGAAACTTGTTTTTTGAAAAACCATTGGGTTTTTCATGTTTTTATGTTAAAATCGCTACGAAAACTAAGGTTTTGGAAGGATTTCATCTTGCGCGCGCGAGTGTGCACTTCGTGTCATTTGTTTGCAAAGGATTCTTGAAGTTTGGTTATGTTAGAACAAGACATGTCATTTTATATTGTTTTTTGACAGGGAAAGCGGGCGTCAACAAAACAACCGGATCCGGACTCCCCCGTTTTGCCTGAGACTTCCTCACGAAAATGATGAAAATGTGGCTGCGGCCTAGGCGCGGCGAGGGGGGCGTGCACCAGGGGGCCCAACAATAATTATTCTTTAGAAGTAATAATATTCAACAACAATCATGTTAAGACTGTTCGCTCCTATCTGCTCGAATGTCAGTCAATATGCATATCCCAAACCCTGGACACCCGCCCTCTTCGTCTTCGATCGTACCCCCTTCTGGGGGGGTACATTCATTCTCTGCCACGCGTGGTTGGTGAAGCCATTTGAAAACGAAGGGTAACGGATAACGGGGGAGAACGAGGACGAAGGGATCGGAGGAAGGGGGGGAGGGGCAAGAAGGAGGGAGGACGATGATTTGCGCTGTGGGTGGCGATTCAGCTTGCTCCATGGCTTGCGCCAACCACTCCAACGCAGGTTAACAATAAGTTGCGCCATGGGTCGAGCCGTAAACAGCGCCACGTACCACCCCCTTGAAAGAACATATCGTGGACACCCCCACGGGGGGCCGCACAGCTGCGAACTGGTGTCAGAATCAAATTTCGCGGAACCCTGAAAAAAAAGCGGGATGTTGGGAGAGTGGGGCGGAAGGATAGTGAGAACTGCAACCGTGTCGAGAGGAGCGCGGGGATGTGGAGTGGATCGGCATGGAGTGGACAAGAGAGGGGGCCACGAAGGGCGACAGCGGGGCCACGAAGGGCATGCATATGGGGCCACGACGGGCGCGAAGGAGCGGGGGCCACGAAGGGCATTCGTATATGGGGCCACAAAAGGGCGACAGCGGGGCCACTGAGGGCAGCAAAGGGGCCACGAAGGACAGCGAGAGGGCCACGAAGGGCGACAGCGGGGCTACGAAGGGCATGCGTATGGGGCCACGACGAGCGACTGCGAGCGGGGGCCACGAAGGGCATATAAAATGCGGGGCCACAACGGGCAGCGACAGAGCCACTGAGGGCAGCAACGGGGCCACGAAGGGCAGCGAGCGAAGGCGACCGCGGAACCAGTACGGGCAGCGAGGGGCATCGAAGGCGGGCGAAGGACAGCGAGCGGCGACTGCATTCCCTAACGGGCTGGTCGAGCGGGCAGGCCCAGACGGGCGGGTCGATCGGGCGGGTCGTTGAAGCGTACACTCTGCTTGAACCGCCAAGCAATATGTAGCGGGAGCACGATTCCTGAGTGTCGAGGAGCGGCATCTGAATAAATTGTGAAGAATCATCAGGCGGGAGCCGCGATTCGGTGGTAAGTTGCGAGGCAATCCCAAGCGAGAGCGCGATTCTTCAATAAATTGTAAGGAGATATCAAGCGGGAGCCGCGATCCGGCGGTGATTTGCAAGGAAGTCCCAAGCGAGAGCGCGATTCTTCAATAAATTGTAAGGAAATATCAGGCGGGAGCCGTTGTTGTTGTAAACTGGGGGCCAACAACACAGGTTGACCCTCAAGACTTTCCCTGATTAAAAAAATAAGGTGCGAGCCCTGGGAAGGGCACTTCAATCGAAAAAACAATGTGCACCGGACGGGGGGATCAACAATAAATATTCTTCAGAAATGAGAGTTCAACAACAACAACAACAACAACATCAACAACAACAACAACAACAACAATAAAAAAACTGGATGTTCGGCCCCTGATGTCCTGGAGTCGCAACTTTTTTGCAACGGGCAATTATGCCCTGTGTTGGGCCCTTGGGACCCTGACTAATCGATCGGGATAGAAAAAAGTCCCAGGAACACCGGGTCCAGGGGTCCAGCCGAGAGTC